GGAGTAAAAAATAACAATTTAAAAGACTGACGCGTTTGATTGAATTACAATCGTACGCTTGAGTTGAAGATTAAAGACATTCGTGAGCTGATGAATTTCTCACGCAATCAGTTGAATATCCGTTAACTAGGCCTTTCGGCAATTCAGCCTAAACTATGCATTTTAGCAACGAATGAATGAAGCTAATTAAATTTTTTTTAATAATCGAGAGATTCAAAAGAATGAAATTTAATATTTTTATTACTTGAGTTGAAACATCTTGATTTGAAACATTAAAACTAAAACCATTACAATTGACAGAGAACATTCATTCGAATTTTTATTGACTGTAAAAATTTTCATGCCTTCGCTTTGGGACTGCGAATTTTAATTTTTTGTTAAATTTGAGGGTCCCTCAAATTTAACTTGCTGCTGGATTAACTGGACCGTCTTGCTGCTGGATTAACTGGACCGTCTTGCTGCTGGATTAGCAGCAAGACGGTCCAGTTCATCTTGCCAGTCGTGCTGGTAGTGAATGGAATAAAAGTTTATTGATTCAATTTATCATCATACTAGATCGTGAACTAAATGATACTAGTCCATTCAATGTTCATTATACTTTCATAACCTACATTGTGAAGTTGCAAGATTGTTCAACTGTGCAGTAAAAAATATATTAGTTGAACACATAAGAAGAACAATACCTGAACTTCCTACCGTGATCTTGAGCTTGCATAAACCTTATGCAGTGAAATATCAATGGATTGATTTTTATGTAGCGGACATCAATTTCAGGAAAAAATTAAATTTCACAGATAATTCTATAATTTTGTACAAATTACTGCAGCAAAGTTCTTTCCTACAAGCCACACTACTGCAATGATCAGCTTCAGAACAACAAAAAATATTTTTTTTAAAACTCGGTAAAAGTTCGATCGCTCTGACACATCCAAATATAATAATAATGACTGTCATGAACTTAATAGTCACACTAACTGTCAGGCTTTGACCAAGACCGAATTGCGGCTAACTTTTTATTTACGTCGATTGTGAGGTCGACAAATATTCTGTACGCACTAATGTATGTAAGTAATGTAATGTATTCTATGTAAGTAATGTATTCTGTACGTAGTCCACTAATTTCACAGATGGTGAACTTTATCCAAATTGCAGGTTAACCTAAAAGTGTGAAAGTGGTTTACATGACAGGTTAGCCTGGCTGCGTTCAGCCGTTTCATGTGTTAAATAACCGGTTAACATGGCAAGTCACGCAAAGGGCGGTGGTTGATATANGGGGGAGGTTGACCAAGTAGGTATATAATCAATGTATTGCCTTTATTGCCTGAAATATCAGGTTGAACAGGTAACTTAACCGAACAATGCTACATGGCGGTTGTAAGTGATAAGATCTCCTGTACTTTCCTCAGTTAATGAGAATTAGAACATGAATCTCATTTGAACTATGAATCAGAAATAGAATTAATGGCTATTGCATAATTCTTATAGTTTCTACGATTCCAATCTCTCAAGTTACCCTCGAAGGCTTCAAGAAACGATAACATTGCAGTAGAGCATTGGGAATTTTTTAAATTTACCAAAGATTTTATCGATGCTCGAGAAAAGAAAAATGTTTTCTATGGATACTAAAAAGAGTACAATTTTACTGAACAATATTGATGCATTGATATTGATTAGAAAAATGCTTTACATTAAAGCAGTTGGAATTAAAACTTCATGATGCCTACGGGATTCAATAAGCCCAATACCCCATAATGTAACAGGGTTTTTTGAAGCGATTTTATCTTTTATCGGTATCGCATAAAGCAAAGTCTTATACTCAGTAATACGTATAAGCATTTACAGTTCATAATGATACTGTCATAGTGATGGTCAAATGAAAAATTATTTTAAATGCCAAAATGGAGTAAGTTCACTAAATATTTAAAAATTATATTGACAACTCACATGGTCTGCAATGGAGGCTTAAAAACCGTAGCTCCAGGGAACAAATGTTATATCATTAAGTAAAATGTATATTGAGACATTCATCTATATTAATATTTGAAAAATTATCAACATTAAAAGTAAAACACCGAGCAAAATTATCAAACGACCGCCTTCAGTGAGCGCTTGTCCAGAAATGACAGCCCCAATATGAGTTCCGCCAAACATTATGCTTCGACCTGCATGAACTGTCATTCCTAAGTAATTAATTAAATATTATAAGTAATGTTAAGAAAAGTCTACTACTTTCAGTCAGTTATAGACTTACAATTGTACAAGTCAAAATAATAGGTCGTGTTTTAGATTTCTGCCAACAGGCTGTGGCTGTGATATTTCGGCACGAAAGTTACAATGGACTTGCAGAAGCAAAGTTTCAGGGAATGGAATTTCATTGACGTAATAAAATTTGGCCAGTAATATTCTAAGTTTTGATGAATATTTTTAGAAGCAGTTTTCTTCATGGCATTAAATAAAAGGATTGGAAGAACATTTAGAGCTTCAAGATTTTTGTTTGTTTATTATTGTGTTCAAGTAAACGTTTGAAAAAAATAAACACGTGTATTAGAATTTGAATATCTTAATATTTACTGGTGTCGAAATAAAAAAATTATCGAGAAAAGTAATATGAGAAAATCTTTCCAAACTAAATAAGGTTAGCCTGACATAACGCCGTCATAGTGCAAAAACTTCCATATTAGTTTTAGTGTTGATCTATTTATAGCCGGGCATGTCGTGCGTCATCGTGCAGCCTAAGCGCCGAAATTACTTAGGGAAATTACTGCACACCTCTGATAAAAAACATAACAATAATGTTAAAGATATTCGTGCTGAAGTCAATGAGAACACACAGATCTTACCATCAGAGTGAATTTTCCGTTTCGAGCAGGAAGGGTAAATTTAAATTTTTGTTTAAATTAACGTTTGCAAAATAAGTTGCACCTGTTGCAGAGTTAAAAGGCTCCACTTCATCTTTCCAGCTGTCCAGTCTAGTTCTACTGGATTAAAAAATGCAGCAGAAGATGCGACGCTGAATTTGGAGATGTAGCTCATTGCTCACAATATTTTCTTTTTACTTCGAAGTTTTTATAGAAGCTGCCAATAATCTTCATATTCGATTTTTACTTCACTTCGAGTCACCTAACATCTAACATCTCTTATGCGCATTTTCTCATTTATGGTAAAAAGGCGCTATTGTGCTCGTCCAGGCCGACTGTCCGTCCGTGACTTCTCGACCGTCCGTGCACTATACTAATCGCAATGAAAACTGATTTATGCACGAGAAAATGCGCTCTCTGTCACTCACTGCAGTGAGTACTGATCTAATTTTTGTTTGAGATATTCTGTAGCAGCGCAGCTCGTCCGGCATTTGTTCCGGTGACCAACTTTTGAAATTTCTAATACACGTTAATTGGTCATTGCTTCCTGATCAGTCATCAAGATTTTTTCAGCATTTACATTTGTTTCAACAGCAATAATGTTGTAAATTCTTTCCAACCATTATTTCATTTTTAGTGCAATTTCTCATTTATGGAAAAAATGCACTATTGTACTCGCCATGTCCGTCTGTCTGTCTGTCCGTCCGTCTGTCGACGAGAAAATGCGCTCTTTATCACTCACTGCAGTGAGTACTGAGTTATATTTTTTATCAATAATGCCTGTTTTGAGCGTCACGGTCGAAGTTTTGTTCTCGTCTCGATCAACACGATTACGATAGTGCAATACGATTACGATGGTGCAATACGATTACGATGGTGCAATACGATTACGATGGTGATGTTATGTTCTCGTTTGCAGCGTCGATTTAAAGTGCATTATTCTCGTCGAGTATTATGGAACAATATACATACATCGATTGATTCATCCTGTGCATCTAATGACTGATCTACTGTGCTACCCTGAGGGAAAAGCACTCCCAGCATGTTACATGTTCTCTCACTACCACAACATAGTAGCTCGACATGTTTCTCTCACTACCAAAACATTGTGTCCCGACATGTTTCTCTCACTACCACAACATAGTAGCTCGACATGTTTCTCTCACTNTTGTGTTTTATATACTGAAAATCTGCTTTATATACTGAAACATATACTGTTTGTGTCTTATATACTGAAACATATACTGCTTGCGTTTTATATACTGAAACATATACTGCTTGTTTTTTATATAATAAAACAACGCATGGGCTCTGTTCGCATCTCTATGATTCACTTTATGCATGTTAATACATTCGAAAAGCTGTTAACATATTACAAATATCTTGCGAAAACCTGATTTTGAAGCTGCTAATGTCTACAAAAATATAGTTTGAGTAATTGAGCAAGCCAACAAAAAAATTATAAATAAAATACATTCCCTGATCTCCAATTTAACTTGTCACAATGAACTAAGAAGGTATTGACGAACTACTTCACATTATCGAGCATTTTTTCCTTAGATTTGTTTTGGTGGTAAACACTTAATGTTTCTAAAATTTGTATTGGCGCAACAGAAATATTTTATTTATTACGTAAATATTGATAATATTATTAATACATATTATATTTTGAAGTAAAGCACAAGTTATTGCTCTATTTTTAATTTGATATTATGGAATATTCTATTCTATGAATGTGTTTTTTGATCTCTTCATGCTTGTATGAAGCCTGATACTAATTAAATATACAATTTTCATCACCTACCTAAAAACCATATCTTGTCGCGATATTACCCGGATTTGAAATTTTATTTTTATGTAGAAATTTTGGGGCATCGTTGTTCGGGATTATAATAAATAGTATTAGATTTTATTTAATAAAGATGATTTCATGAGGGATTCTCAACTATTATGGGTTATAAAGGCTGGCACTTCAACAAGTTAACATTATTTTTTTTTTCATTACAGCATATCTGATAGAGCTGCAAGAATGAGCTGGACTGTCTTGCTGCTGGTGCAGCTGCTGCAGCTGGTGGCAGCTGGAGAGTATCCCGCCTTCAAGGTGGTGATGAAAGACATCGACATCATCGCGCCCAACGTGTCGTACAAAGGCGACACTTTGTGTGAGTTGTGTGGGTCGAGTTACGAGGCTGAGTAGTTTGTGTAGTGAAATGATGGAGGTAGTTTTGTATAGTTTTATGTATAAATTGATCGAATATTTACCAAAATTTCTTTATTAGCTTCTGGTTTTATTTTGAGACTCCGACAGATAATACAGAATTTAATTCTGAGGTGGTAATGTAGACCATTTTTCATTTAATATATTTGTATATATTAATTTTAAGTGAATAAGCTTCTAATTTAAGATTTTTAAACTGTGGATCTTGTATTGGCCGACTCAAGAAAATAACATTAAATGCAATAATTCCAAAGCTAAATATAGCTTTTTCCAAAAGGTAAAAAGTCTTTCACATCTAGCATCACAAATCATTCTTGACTTACTACAGGTATTTCAATTCAGGCATCTAAAAGTCTTTGAGCGCATGCCTATAGCTGCTGCTCGAGTTAAAATTCATAAATATTCCAAAAATACCATGAATATGACACTAAACAGTTGACTACACACCATTGAACGCGCAAATCAATATCATAAAATGAGAACAAATTCCAGGCGCTTGTCGTACCAAGTGCCTAGTACAGCCGCAGTGCACGGCAGCGACGTACGATAAGCCCTCGTCTACGTGCAACCTCACGTACGTCAGTCAGTGCGAGACAAAAGTACAGAACACACCTGGCGTTATTGGTCTCTTCAAGTATGGTGCGTGAATTCTGAATGATTAGCAATGAATTATTAGCGCAATTTATAATTTCAACTGAAATATTAATTTTGTCTGAGAAGACTGTATAAGAATTTAGTGTGAAGGTATTTAAATTGGCCACTTCCCAACCAACAAATAACAATATTCATAAGTTGGTATTGAGTGCGTGTAAATATGTGAACCCACCGTAGTTCTCAGCACAAATAACCATATGAATTAAAATGACAGTAATGAGAGATTATCAACGTAATTCCCTCATCTTAATTTACTTGATAAGTTTGATGAATAACAGATAATTTTGGACAGGGCAGAAAAATATATTGGAGAAATCTTTGAACCAATTTCAGGCCCGGTAATGAGAGACGTGTTCATCACCACCGCTCTCTCGAACGACGGGTCTCTGGCGAACCAGCGGCGTCTCTGCAGGGCAGAAGGCGGCGAGCCTCTCGTCATCAAGACCAAGCGAGTCAGAGACAAGGCAGTGCAACTCGTCAAGGGTACGATTTATTTGTGCATACAAATTCACGAATTATATAGAAATGAAAGCACGACCAATTACAAAATTACTTAATACATCTTGTTCGCTTCGGAATGACTTATTTGTCATATCACTTGTTTGTTTAAACAAGTAATTATCAATTTTAAAAAATTAAACAAGTAAATAATTTATATCACTTGTTTGCTTAAATCGCAAATAAACTAAGAATTTAAAAGCAAAGAAAAATCCACAAAAATTCATATCTTTATAGAGAGGCGAGCTGAGGGATGACTTAATAGGTAATAATAATAGCCTAATAGTTAATTAGGAAGCTATATGAAAACTAGCTAATTAAAGCCATATACTTACTTGTATTTTGGAATTATTTGGTGAAAATCATGGTTCGAATCATCGATGGATAATTATTTTCAAAACATCACTTTCCATTGACTAGATATTTTTGGATATTCTAAAGTATTGGAGCCAGCAGAGAACGGTTCAACACAGCTAGAATTAGTCCAAACGAACTGAATTACTGAAAGTTAAGACATGCAAAAAACATAAACTTATGCTTTTTTCCCTGAAATTAAACTTCAAATAGATTGTTTGAAAACATTTTAATGAAATTCGAATTGTTTTCATGGTGTACATGTCAACAGATTACGCGATAAAAGCTTCACCAAATTTGGATAAAGTTGCCTGGTTGAGTGCGACTGGCAATGAAACAAACTTGTCTCTCCCCTTCACCTGGCCTGACGGCAGCGACATATCCAACTGTGCATCAAATACAAATGATACCAAAACGTCATTCAATACTGATGGACCTGCAACGAGACTCTCTGAGAAAAACGTGATCCTGCGTGCAGGAATGAAGACAGACCTTAAATACAAAGTGCTGTGTTCAACATACAGTGGGGGGAAATAAATATTCGTACACTTGAAAAATCGTATTTTAATGTATGTAAGTACACAAACTTAACAGGAAAAGTGATTTAAATTATGTATAGAGACGCATAGTATTCAAAAATACATTGCATTGAGATTTAATTTCTATTGATGCTATTTTTGAATACAATGCGCCTCTATACATAATATAAATCACTTCTCCTGTTCAATTTGTGTACTTACATATATTAAAATACGATTTTTCAAGTGTACGAATATTTATTTCCCCCCACTGTAAGTTGTACTTCGAATGCCCATAAAATGTCGGATTGCCCTTTTTCCCCGTTCATTGCCTAAGACTGTATCAAAGCACACAACAATGGAAATTATGTTTGTCATAGAGTTAAGTATGACCTTTAAACGGCGGATATAGCACCGCATTTCAAATCATAAGAAGCAAACCATATTATAGCACCGCATCTCAAATATTATGGATCATCGGAATTTCGGTCACATCTGATAACATTTCAGGACCTATGTGGCTTCTTGACCTACACACTACACAGTATACGCTATAGAATCTATGTCATTTAAACATTAAAGCTACGTACTTCAAAAGACTACCCGACCAACGCTGTTTGCTTCTGAGGCTCTCTAAATTTATAAGCTACGTAATTCAAATGTCACAGTGCTTGTTCATGAGTCATGATCGCTACTCTCTAAATATTGAAGTTATGTGCTTCAAAAGGCCACGAGACTCAGTGATTGCTTTTTAGTCTTGATCGCTATTATCACCATCCAATTTATACCCCGAAATTCCCTTTACTTGCTGCAAATGCACTACGGCTGTGCAAATTTAACCACTTATTTACATTTTAGCCTTGAATCTATATCGCAGTTTTTCCCAAAAAATCCATTTTAAGCTGATGGATAATATCAGAGATTTTTCTATCTAGAGTGCCTTGGTTTTCCTAAAGTAAACTGCAGGCCTATTACTAATGTATGAGTGTGATGGTGTGTGGCTTGGGGAGAGCTGCACCAGACTAAGTCGAAATTTGACTCGACCAGGACCGAGTGTAAGAGCGAACTCGATGCGACGCTTCACATAATACCGTGTCAACGTTGCAGATTGGGCCATGTCGCCGATTCTGAACAGCACAGAATTTTTACAGCTTGTTTTAAGTCTCAACGTCGTAACTCACGGCTCCAATATCCACTGTGCCTAACAGCCCTGCTACCTTGCCGATTTTGACCAGAACTGTCGCAGAACGCTGGGATCGAACCCGCAATTCCCTGCTCCCATTTAGGTACTAACTGTAACCACTAGGCCACCCTGCGTACACCCGCTTCTTTATATAGAATAGAAGTATCGGTACTAAAGAAATAGGCCCATGGCCTGTTGCCGATTCTTGTACTTTTCGTGACTTGATTCACAAGGGACCCGGCCTTTTGAACCCGATCTTTCCATCACTGATGATTGATTAAGATATCTGATAGACTTATTGCAAAGTCCGTAAGGTGCTACGCATTTCAAGACTGAACATATGCTCCTGCACTGCTTCGTCTAGTCTTTTTGAAGGCGTTCATACTTGGAGCGTCAATGATGCTATCAGGGAGGCTATGACTCTGTGACTCTATCAGGGAGGCTGTGACATTCATGCGAATGTTGTCGCATATGGATGAGTTACAACGCAGTTTTTATTTTATAGCCGTGGCTCCTGGTGTTGATTTTTTTTTAAAGTTCTAGGTCTCCTTCTGGGACCTTGTTTGAACCGTGGGTATACCTGTATACTTCAATGAGGTCACCACGCAGATGTCGATAACAGAGGCTTGGAAGCTTCATAATATTTAATCTTTCTTCATAAGGCTTGCCTTTTAATACCGGAATTATCCTTGTTGCACTTCTTTGAACACTCTCAACTCAATTTTTGCCTTTTTCTATTTTTGGTGACCCCGTTCGGACGCACGGCAGCGACAAGCAATAGTTACATAGCTTCAACATCTATGTGCTCGTAAGAGCATCTGTTCAGTCCAAGTCGTTTATTGGCTTTATTAATTTGAGCTTCAATATGATTAGAAAATTTCAAATCATTGTCAACATTAACTCCTTAATCTTTTTCCATTGTCGACTTCGACATCATCACTCTATCGCTGCAACCGTGTCTTCTCATACTGTGATCTTGCTGTTCATTATTTTTGCCAAGGTATTTTACTTTACATTTTTCAACGATAAAACGCAGCTGCCACTTATCAGCCCAGTCAAACAGCCAGTCAAGATCACCTCGCAACTGTACTTTTGCGACGTATTCTACACTGTATGCGACGTATTCTTCACTGTATGCGGCGTATTCTTCACTGTATGTGGCGTATTCTTCACTGTATGTGGCGTATTCTTCACTGTATGCGGCGTATTCTTCACTGTATGTGGCGTATTCTTCACTGTATGCGGCGTATTTCTAGTCTTTGAGTCTTCACCATTAATCATGGGAGGCACCACCATCAAGCAAGTGCTGAATAATTCCAGGTATTAATGGTATACTAACCCTCTTTCTTAATTTTGAGGGGGATTAATCATGGTGACGTCGAAGGCAATTTCTGCACACTGAAGGCAGGGTTAACCACTGGGCACTAATCGGTTCTATATGTTTTAACACTTGTTTGTGTGTCACCTAAACACTTTCTCTCTTCTCTCATAAAAAATTCTGAAATGAAGGCACACTAAACTTTTTCGCATGGAATAATCAGACTAGAATATTTGGATGATCGCGATTTCTTATTCGGGAAAACTAAGATACATTACTCATATAACATTTTTCATAAAGAATAATATATGGATACGCGTCAAACTTTAGTAAAGATGCCCTGATTAAAAACGATACATCGATTTACTCTCTGTTTACACTTTTTCTGTTGGGGCTATAAATGAATTTCAACTATTGGCTATATCTCTATATAAATAGCCAAGGATACTTATACTCTTCAGTGTGAATTTATATGTCAAGATCAAAATTACTGTTCATTACTGTTAAGGTTTCTACTTCCTAATGATTTCAGGAGTATTATTAGAACAAAACGATATTTTATACAGCTTGATTTCAATTATGAACAATTTTCACCCCTTGAACCTCGCCTTCAGGTTTAAGACGAAAGCACTATTTAAAAGACAAATTAACCATCAACATAAGCCAGTTAACCATGGCCAGTTTTAATAAATATAATATCCAGTGGCTTTGTAATAATTTTAAGTTCAGTTAATTACAATTATTACTATGTACTTCACGTTAGTTCTTGTACGTAGCGCAAATTTCAGCTACAACCCTCTGGCAAACATCGTTAGGGTTCACAGCCTAAGCAAGCCTATTCCACTTGCCGTGCTACTGTAATGTCGTGCAGAGTGCTTTCTCACGTGTTGTTAATTGTTGTGTTAATTAAATTAATTCAATGAGTCTCGCCTGTACACATTTATTTAACACGATCTCGTCTATACTCCATTGACACCCTAAATACTCGCACGGTTCTTACCCGATACAATTCTCGCCATCACCTCATTTCTCCTAATTAATTTATTAACTCACTCACCTACCAGAATAAACTAGCAAAATTAATTATTATCCTTTCATTACCCTTGCTACCATACGCACGGTCTTAAGGGGACCGTCTACCCTCCGTAAAGACTTCTACAGTTATTATCTTATCATCGTGAAACTTCACATACACACGTAAAATGTAAACAAAATAACATTTTGTTCATATGAATTTTTTGAAAAAATTGATAGAAAACGTAAAATTCATAGAAAACGTCTAAAAACAAGTACTTTAGAAAATCTATCTCCTCCTACAAATATCATCCTACAACATTAAGACACGTATCATTCTATTTGTAAAGACCATACCTATCGACTCTAACATCACTTTTCTCATTTTCCCCATAGTTTTTTTTATTCGCGGTTTTTTTCATTTCTCATTTTTTCCCCTCCCCCCCCCCTTCTCCCCCATATATAAGACGAACCATACACAAATTCCAAAAAATGATGTTAGAGTCGATAGGTATGGTCTTTACGAATCGAATGGTATACGTATGTCTGATTGCAGTAGCTTGAAAACTGTAGGAGAAGATAGGTTTTCAAAAAGAAAAAAAAACGAAAATTTAAATAGTTCAGGGGAGCCAAATAAAGTAAAATTCATTGAAAACAGAAGAATATACCCAAAAAGTCTTGATATTGTAGCCCAAGCATTCCCATTGCCAATTATTTGCATTCAGGGTACCAGCAAGCGTCTTTAGACCTATGTATTTATGTCAAATTTAACGTGAATAATAAGCTATAAATTGGACTTTTCATATATGAATATATATATATGAAATATTCATTTTACATAACGTTACATCTGCATTCAGCAAAAACTATTGCACGTACATCAATGGTGGTAGCTTTGTTGAACGCGTCTTGTTTGTAGCTTTCAAACGAGTGCAAACACTTTGCAATTAACCTAAAGAATGACATATAAATACCATTTATTAGTAAATAATGTTATAAAATGTTCATTTTATAAAAGTTTAGGACTGCATTACACAAAAAATTTTGCATGTACATCAATGGTAGTAGCTTTGTTGAACGCGTCTCGTTTGTAGCTTTCAACGAGTGCAAACACTTAGTAATTAACGAAAGTAATGATCTATATATATACAGATTTAATTCAAATAAATCTTTGTACATATTGTTAAAAATCTTCATTTTATATATTTTTAAAATTATCTTACGCAAAAACTATAGCACGCACAGACATGCGGTAAACTGCGTTAGACGCGCTTTTTCAGCAGCTACAAAATGAGTCAAGAAAACGGAAAAGCCAAAATTTCCGATTTCTAGGGTAGACGGTCCTCTTACCATCCCTTGGTAACCCGTCCATGGTAACCTTCGTTCGACTTCCCCACCACATATAGGCTCCCTCAGGCTCCCTCAGGCTCCCTCAAGTTCCCTCAGGCTCCTTCAGGCTCCCTCAAGCTCCCTCAGACTCCCTCAGGCTTCCTCAGGCTTGCTC